GGCTCGGAGCATCTGAGGGCTCTCCTTGCTCGTCTCCTCGGCTGTGGCTGGACTGAGGCGCCCACGGCTGAAGCGCTAAAGAGGCGGCAGCCACAGCAGCTGCACTCGGCCCGGTTTCGGGCGCCTTCTTCGCCCCCCCGCCTTTGCAGACGGTTTACAAAAAAACTTTGCTTTGCACTCGGAACCCCCGTTTTCACACGGACCCGAGCGTGACAAGGCCCCGGCGCCCCGCCCCCCAGACCCGGCACGCTTCCCCATTGGCCAGGAACCCTCACGACAGCCGTCGCGTCCCTCCCATACGCGCTCGCTACTGGATGAAGACGCGGATGGGCGGGAGTGGGGCGGGGTCTCGGCTTCAACCGAGGGAGGCGGGGCCTTTCCCTCCTGGAGCCGGGCGTGGGCCCGGGGTGCGGGCCGCGTGCAGCAGAGGGGGAGGGGCGGGCAGGCAGACCTCCCCCACCCGCGATGTTGCGGGGTCCTGGTTTTGGCTCTGCGGGTCCTCACAGCCCCCAGCACACCTGCGGGGGCCAGGCTTTAGACAGACTTTGATCCTAGGAGCCGAGTCCACGTGGGGGCGGGCCGCCGGGCGTCTGTGTGACAGACCCGCCACCTGGGAGGGGCCGGGAGCAGAGCCCCTGCGTGCGGGGCCCTCGGGTGCGTCCTCCGGGCACAGGAGCCTGAGATTAGGCCAACAGACTCATAAACAAGTGCTGCACGTAACTTGTGACTCTCGGCCTAGCACCGGGCTGAGGAGTTAGCCCTCAGGCGAGTGGCCTGAACCGAGGATCTTTGTAAATGGTTTAGTAAAGTGAATTACTCCTATCATCACCTCCCCGGGAGACCTTGTGTAAATCAGGTATTTCTGTCACTGATTATCTAAGAACAGTTTAGGGACGGACTTCAAGCTGGAGAAACCTGGGCTCTGATCCTTGCCTTGTCGCAAGCCAGCTGCGTGACTTTGACCAAGTCACCTAATCTCTCTACACCTGTTCATCTATAAAGTAAAGGACTGAACAAGTGGGACTCTTAAGATTCCTTCTAACTCCAAAATTCTAAAGGCTCTATGATTTCACACTTTATTTATAGACCACAAACAGCGGAACCCTGTGTTGGCTGCTAGGGGGAGGGGGAGGGGCAGTAAAAATACAAAAGAAAAAGCTGTCCAGGTGGAGATAGAATATAAAAAATTTTAAGTTTACTATGAAGTGCTCTTCGTAAGTTTTGCTAACCCTAAGTTTAGATTGAACGAATGTGTACTGTGGATATATATATATATATATATATATATAGAGAGAGAGAGAGAGAGAGAGAGAGAGAGAGAGAGAGATAATATGAATAATCTGGAAGCCAAGACTTCCTGATCGAAAGTGGGCTGGTAACTGGAGTCAACAAAATGGCCTGAGATGGACCTTTAAGGCCTCACCCCTGAACTGGATGAAGGACCCCCCAACTAACTGCTCCATGTTGCTATAAGTGTAGTGCCAGTCATTGCCTTAAGATGCCTTAGGTAAGGCTTATTTGGAGCTGTGTTGTTTTGCCCATCCCCCCACCCACTTATTCTTATACTTTTTTTGTGATGTGTATATGGTGTGTTTGTCATCTCCCCATCTAGCTTGGAGAGCCAGATGTTCATCTTCCGTTTCTGCTTGGCTGGGATATAGAAGAATGGAGGAAAGTTTGCAAGACATTATAAAAGAAGAATTGACAGAATTTGATGATATATTGGTTATTGGGAGGGAGAAAAATAGGAGAATCCAACAAAGATAATTACAATGTTTCCAATCTGACAAAAGAGTGCTTTAGTAAGGAGGTTGGGAAGGGGTGTAACAGAGGGTCACTTGTTGCTTTGACTATATCCCTGTGGCTTTGAAACTTACATGTTTTTTTCTTTTCCCCAACCTCCTCCCTGACCACCTCCTCTCTGATCTTTTCCCTAATCATCCTCCTTTCAGATCTTCTCCTCCCAGATCTTCTTTTCCCTAACCTCCTTCTTCCTAATCTCAAGTTAGTTTAAGGGGTTAATAATGAGCACCATTTATAAATGTGATTTTGAAGTGACATATGGATGGTGGCAATGCTAAGAATTGGATTTATGAACTTTAGGACCACCAATCTCCCCTTCTTTGATGTGGACAAGTGACATTTTTCTCTGAACATATGTAAACACAGCTCCCAGTGAAACTGTTTATACAGAAATTGGGGAGCCACTCGTGGTTAAAATGTTCTCATGGGAATGGCCAGGGGACAGTTGGAGGACCATTTTGCTTCTACTGGAGGCTTCTGTGCATCCCACTGAATGCAAGAATTTGATATCCAAAGAAAAACCAATAAGTGCAAAAGGCAGTCTTGCTTCACAAACAGGGTAACAGTCTTTCAATAAACAGGCTAAATTAGGAGATGTTTAGACCCATAGAAAAAAGTGAGTTATAGTCAACTCAGTAGCCACTTATGAGAACTTACTCTGCAACATTTAAGCCATTTCCCAAACAATGTGCTTTATTCCCTCATAACCTGGTGGGGCAGGGGACACTACATTTTCCAGGTTGTCAGAGAAGTCATAATCATGTGCTCCAGATAAATATTTTTAGAGTAGAAAAATATTTCAATCAAATAAACTTTCCTTTTGCCCAGCATTGTGTGGGCAAAATACTCTTACAGCTTGACTACCAAATTTCTCTCTTTTCAGCCGGTTATCCTAGGAGTTTTGGCACAGTCACAAGTGGATTAAAATAAAGTGACCATACCATTATTCACCAACACTCCCAGAGGTTGTGACCCCCCCCCCAGGTTGAGAAAGATGGCTTGATTTTTTTCTTCCTAATTTTTGAGAACTTGCCTGATACCATGCTTAGTATCCAAACTGACAAACACAGCATACTTTGAAGATGAGAGAATAATGTTCCTTTTGGAAAGAGACTGCCAATTTGAATGCAAGTCAACTGCTTAACACACACCCTACAATCTCAGCCCTCTGGCCCTATCCTTGCTCTCAGTTAAAGTTTGAAAGAATCTTGTAGGATTCTTGTAAAAGCTGTGAGGCACAAACAGACTTCTGAATTTTGGTTATCAAAAATCATGTGTGTATAAAGCTCTGCCTTGCGTGGAAAGACAGAAGAACAAAGCGTGAAAATCGGGTTGTATTTGATTCAGTTGACACTAAATCACTTCTTTTTTTAAATATATTTTAATTGTTGATAGACCTTTATTTTATTTATTTATATATGGTGCTGAGAATCGAACCCAGTGCCTCACACATGCCAGGCAAGTGCTCTACCGCTGAGTCACAGCCCCAGCCCTTAAATCACTTCTAATGTTCAATCTTGAAACAAAACTCATGCGGAAATCAGGTTTTGTTTGTTTTTTCATCTTTTGGAACTACATGAAGGATTCTTGCAAATATGAACTGAAATTTCTAGCAACAATTCAAGGACCGAGGTTTGGGGTGTATTTTAGCTGCTCCCAGTCCTTTGGGAGAACAAAGAATAAACAAGTAACAATGCTAGTAACAAAACCCAGAAACAGCACAAAAAGTCCCAGAGGTATAAGGGAAACCATAAGAAAGAAATGCTCAGAGCAGGAAACCCAGAGCAAGCAGAGGAGAAATAGCAACAGTGTGGAGAACAGAATTGTTCTGTGACAGGCCCAGGACAAGTTGCTGAGCTCTTTTTATGTGTTGGTTAAGCTAAAGAATGGCAGGTAAGGACTAGCAGCAAAGGGAAACTCATTTTTTCTTGGACACTGAAAATTGGATCTGTTCTCTAATCATGCCTGAAAATTATATCTAGAACTAAAGGCACTGATGTCTATACAGTAAGGCTCATTGAATTTTGTGAGTTTCTTAGGTTCCAGGTTACTTAATAGCAGAAATTGTTGAAGACTCAGGCAAGTCAGTCTTAAAGTTTAGGCTAACTGCCCAATCTTTCTTTCTTTTAAAAGAAAGGCTGTTCTAAGGATGGGAGATCTAATTAAAGCAGAAAGTACAAAAGTTTTTAAAAAAAGAAGTCAAAGCATTTTTTTTTTGACTGTCCCATTACTTGTCTACAAAGATGATACTGACCAGTGGAGCATTTTGAAAGCATCACACACTTAATGAGTTTTAGGATGATAGAAACATCAGGGAACTAACCCTTAAAAGTTATTGTGTGCCTTCAGACAAGTTATTAAGCCTCTCTGGGCCTCAATTCCCACATCTTTCCAGTGAGGAGTTATAAGAGCTAAGGGGTTATAATAGGTGAGTAAAGGAGGTAGAGCTGCCTGATTGATATTCTCAAGTGAAGCTTTTAAGCCATCTGTACTTGTGTTTTCTGTGAATCTTGCGCTGGGTTCTGGCAAATTCAGCAACTGCTTTGTTACCATTTTACTTTTGGGAAACTCATTCTGATGGACTCAAAAAGGACTCATTTGCCAGCTAGCTACCCAGTTGATTCACTTTCTCTGGCTAGAGGGATAAGCCCGTTCCACAGAGCCTCCCTATATCCCACCTGGTGGCCGAGGCCTCTCAGGACAATCACATGATAGGATAAAACCTGTGGAGGGGAGTATTTCCAGTGCCTCTTCCAGGCTATAAAAATATCTGCCTAACTCCACATATCATCCTGCCCTCTTCCTCCTGAGTTTTATTGTTTAGCTGCTATGACCTTTTAAAACCCAGATCTGATTATTGCAAAAACATATGTCCTCCACCACTGCTATCAAGCAGAGATCTTTTGGTGGCTCTAGAACTCCAAAGAGAAGACCCAGACTTGGATGCATCGTTGGGTTCTGGTTAGCCTCCCCAGTCTCATGATATCACTCCACCCAATAGGACTAGCCTTTCTGACGCCCATGAATCCAGCCTGTGTACATATTATTCCCTCTCCTGGGACACTCTTCCTGCCCCTCTTTCCCACATCAATTCCTTTTTTAAAAAAAAAATTATACACACACACACACATATTTTTTTAAGTTGTAGATGGATATAATATATTTTATTTATTTTTGTGAGGTGCTGAGGATCAAACCCAGTTCCTCAGCAGGCGAGGCAAGTGCTCTACCCTGAGCCACCCCACCACTCCCCCACATCAATTCTTGTTCATCTTTCAGCTCTCAGCTCAAGGGCCACTTCCTCAGGAAGTCTTCCCTGGCTCCTCTGACCACTTCAAGTCACTGAAGTATAAGTTCTTTCAACTCATTACCTGCTCTTTGGTGGCACTAAACAAAGATGCAATTTTTCATTGAACCAAATAATAAGATTGTAAACTCTATGAAGGGCAAGGACAGTGTGTGATTTTACTCACCTTGTCACTCTAGCCAGCCTAGCATAGGGGGTACACAGTAAATATTTGTTGAATGAGTGAATGTTGACAAATCACCATGCTCATGGTAATCCTTACGTTCATTCCACAGATCTTTATTGAACACCCAGGTTTCCCTATCCACACAAGGAATCAGATGAGAATCAGATGGCCCATTTCTTCTGGATAGAATAGAAAACACCAGGACACAATCTCATTAATTAGCTCACCTCATTCTTCAAGCAGGATATCACCCTTCTGTTGTGATATTGTCTCACACAAGATGCAATTAATTGATTAAAACTGGGAACCAGTTGTAGAATCTGCCATGATAACTTTCTAGGTTCTCATAGTTTTCAGAGTTTTTGTTCCTTTTCGAGCTTCACAATAACCCTATGATGTTTGCAAGGCAGGTCCTGTAGATTACGGATGGAGACTCCATGAAATAAAAAAATTTGTTCCGAGTTTGTGAGTACAAAGCCCTAACTGCACCAGAATGTTTATTTTAGCATCATACCCAAATTTGAGAGGAACAAACCCAGTCTGAGGCTCAAGACTTCATATGCACTAACTTCTACAAATTGTAAAGCTCATCTCAGTTTCTGGTTCTATGATTCTTTTATTAATTTGTAATTACTATAAGGACTAAGGGGAAGTGGCCTACTTGTGAGTGACACCTCTTTAACAGGTCACTCCAAGGTCTGATTCTCTAGTGATGTGTTCCAAAATTGGGTCCTACTCACAGATAATTCTGTAGGGTGAATTAGTTAATTGTTCTGCCTCCTGCATTTATACATTTCTTCCTTTTCCTTTTTTTTTTTTTAACAACTGGAGTGTCTTGCAAAGGGCCTAAATATTGTCTTCTTAGTCAGGTGCTTCACATTCTTTAATGTGCACTCAGGTCACCTGGAAAACTTAATAAAATGCAGATTCTGATTTAATAGTTCTGCAGTGGAACCTGCAATTCTGCATTTCCAATAAGCTCCAAGTCTAATACTGATAGTCCCCAGGTCACATTTTGAGTACCCAGGTAATATAAGCTTACATCATTCTTTTTTTCTTCCTAACTTCTTCTTTTCTCTTACTTTCTTTCTTTTGTCCATTCTTCCATTCTTTCTTTTTTTTGTTTGAGAAGGGTATCACTGTGTTTCTGAGGCTAACTTCCAACTTCTGGGCTCAAGTGATCCTTCTGCCTCGAACTCCCCAGTAGCTAGGACTATAGGCACCACTGCACCCTGTTCACCCTTTTTTTCTTGCGGGCAGGGAGGTACTGGGGATTGAATTCAGGGGCATTCGACCACTGAGCCACATCCCCAGCCCTATTTCGTATTTTTATTTAGAGACAGGGTCTCACTGAGTTGCTTACTGTCTCACTTTTGCAGAGGCTGGCTTTGAACTTGAGATCCTCCTGCCTCAGCCTTCCGAGCCACTGGGATTACAGGTGTGTGCCACTGTTCCCAGCTGTTCATGAGTTTTTTTATCCCTGGAAGGAGGATATTGAATGAAGTTATTCT